TGGTGTTGTGCCAATCCGAAGCCAGGAGCCAGGAGCTCTTCTGGGTCTCTCACGCGAGTGCAGGGTCCCAAGGCTTTGGGCCGTCCTCCACTGCATTTCCAGGCCACAGGCAGGGAGCTGGATGGGAAGTGGAGCTGCTGGGATTAGAACTGGCGCCCATATGGGATCCTGGAGCGTTCAAGGCGAGGACCTTAACTGCTGTACTATCGCGCCGGGCCTGGCGATCAGTTTCAACATGGGGCTTGGAGGGCTGTCACCAGAGGCTCTGGGCTCAGGCCCCACCCAGGTGCAAGTGTGCCATCATCACCTCCCTTGCCCCCGACCCCCTGCCCTGCCCAGGAGCAGCCCAGGAAGAAAGGCAGAGCCACTCCTGGGCTGGTCTCTCTCCCACCCTGCTGTGTGTACTCTGTACTCAGTCTCCCAGCCTGCTTTGTCTGGCTCTACTTCTGGCCAGATGACCGCGCAGTCCCTGGTGAAGAAGGAGGGAGGGGATGACCAGCTGGGTATGGGGCTGCTGGGCTGAGCTTTTAAAAATCCTGAGATGCCATGCACCCTCCACACACCCCTTTTGGGCTGCAGGAAGGCATGCCAGGGGCCCTGTGTGAGGGGGTTGATCAAATGGCAGGGCCAGCTGGAAGGGGCGGGGCTGGCCAGGCCACTTGAACAGGCTCAGCACTGGCATGCAGCTCTCATTTCTGTGGGCATATAAAATTTTCTTAAGTTACCCAGTTTCTTTTCCTTTTTCTTTTCTGTTTCATTTATTCGAGAGCTGGATTCCTAGAAACGTTGAGGGCCCCAGCTACGCACCACGGCTGTGGCTGAGCCTTGTATCAACTGCATGGTGCATTCTTGCGTGAGCCACAGGGGTGTGAGATGCACCCATGGGGATGGAGGCAGCTGCTCTTCGTCACCTTTGCCTTAACTTGCCTTTGGCTCCGTGGTCATGATGCCAGTTCAGATGCCGGCTCCTGTCCCGTGTCGGAGGACCCGACGGAAGCAGAGTCCGGGTGGGCGCCGGACACCAGATCGACACACCCCAAGGCAGGGGATGAAGGAACTCATAGACAAAGGTGGGATGGGATGTTTTTCAAGAAATATTAACATTCCAGGTACCGGATGAGAGGCAGGTCGTCTGATCGGCTTTGCTCATTCTCTCCTATGGTCACTAGAGGACAAGATGCTGGGCTTCACGGCCAAGATGGCTGTGGTCATGTCATGTCACGCCGAATCTACCCAGAGGAGGGGATCTGGGCGGCACATGGCAGCACCCAGGACACATGTGCCCTTCGGCCGTGCTTTCCAATGGAAACTTTACAGACTGCCCAAATAATACATCATATTAAGGGGGAAGAAATGGCTGATGGAATTTGGCACTCGCTGCTCATGCAGATTTATAACCAACCAGGAATTAAAGGGAAGTTGCAATATTTTAGAGAAAGGAACATGCCCACTTGGGCAAAACCCTCGGAATATGTACTCCTGGAGACTCTGGGTTGACATGAGGTGGCGGTTCCTCATCCCTGGGTACTGGGAGATGTGGAAAGTCATGTGTGGCTTCCCCCTTTATCGTGCTCCTTCCCCCAGGAACAACAACAAGAAACAGCAAATTTGGAAATAATAAGTTCACCCAATTTTTCTTAAACCTTGATCCTTCCCACCTTGATCAACCATGTAATCAGTATAAACAACAACAAATATTCAACCCAGCTAGACAAATTCCCCTTAAAAAACTCACCGAAGATTCCAGTGGCTGGCGTGTGATGGAGCTGACGAGCCTGCTTGGGTGGCCTGCATCCTGAAGCTGAGTGCCAGCTCTGTTTCCGGTGCCAGTTACCTGGAGGGGCAGCAGTGGGGGCTCCGTGCTTAGATCTTGGCCACCCCAGAGTGGACTTGTGTCCCAGGCCCTCGTCTTCAGGCTGGCTGGTGCAGCCCTGGCTGGTGCAGCCCTGGCTGGTGCAGCCCTGGCTGGTGCAGCCCTGGCTGGTGCAGGCATTTGGGAAAGAAACTGGCAGATGGAACAGCTCCTTCTCTCTGTTAACTCAGTCTCTTGATCATTGTCTTTGTTCCTCTGGACAGGGTTTTTCTATATTTTTAAAGAAAGATTTAATTATGTAATTTATTTGAGCAAGAGAGAGAGAGAGAGGGCCTCTTCTATCCACTGGCTTCCTTCTCCAATGGCCACAATGGTTGGCCTGATACTGGAGACAGGATCTCGATTCTTCTTATCTTCCATGCGGGCAGCAGAGACCTGACTTCTGCTGCTTTCCCAGGTGTGTTAGCAGGCAGCTGGATTGGAAGCAGAACAGCAGGGACTCGAACCTGGCAGCATAAGCAAAGGCGATCCTCCAATGCCCACGGGTGGGGAGAGCATATGCTAAACGTTTCGCCAGGACGCAGCGTTTAGCAAGCCTCAGGGTGTATCAGTGCCGGCCCAGCTTTCCGATGCTGCACCTGTCGGGAAGCAGCAGTGACGGCCTGAGTACTGGAGCCTCCTGATGGGAGGTCCACTCCTCCTTCCTCTATATCCATCTTTCCAATAAAAATAAATAAATCTTAAAAAAAAAAACCCACTGCCTACAATGATGGCATTCCAAATGGTTGCTGATTTGAGTCCCAGCTGCTCTATTTACAATTCATCTCCCCACTAATGCACTTAGGAAAGCGGCAGAAGTTGGCCCGTGTCCGTGGACCCCTGCCACGCAGGAGACACGGAAGAAGCTCCTGGCTTCAGTTTGGCCCAGCACTAGCTGGTGCAGGCACTTGGTGAGTGAATCCATGAATGAAAGACGTCTCTCTCTTGTCTCTGTCACTGTGACTCTCGAGTAAACAAATTCAGCTTTTTTTTTTTTAAGGTTTATTTATTTTATTGAAAAGGCAGATGTACAAAGAGGAGGAGAGACAGAGAAGAAGATCTTCTGTCCAATGATTCACTGCTCAGGTGGCCACAATGGCCGGTGCTGCGCCGATCTGGAGCCAGGAGCCAAGAACTTCTTTCTGGGTCTCCCACGCAGGTGCAGAGTCCCAAGGCTTTGGGCCATCCTCGACTGCTTTCCCAGGCCACAAGCAGGAAGCTGGATGGGAAGTGGAGCAGCGGGTATTACAGCCGGCATCCATATGGGATCCTGGCACGTTCAGGCGAGGACTTTAACCATTACGCTATCGCACCAGGCCCAATAAATACATCTTAATAATTTAGAAAAGAATTTGTCAAAACCCCACAGGCTGTGTTCCCACCTCAGATCGTGTCTTCTCATCTGTCTCCTTTTCCTCCAAAGGCTCCGAGGGCCATTGTCTCAGCAATGGAGCCCTGGACTCCGGTCCTCGGTGCTCGATTCCAGCGGTATAAGATGTGGGAGTCATTAGGCACATGTGTGTGCAAGGGAGAATGACAGGGGAGAGCGAGGATCTTCCATCCACTGCTTCCTCTCCCAAAATCCCCCAACGACAGCCAGGCCAGTGGCAGGACCCAGGAACTGCATCCGTGTCTCCCATGGGCGTGTCGCAGGGAGGCCCAGGCGCGTGAGCCATCTTCCATGGCCTCTCCAGGAGCGTTAGCAGGGAACTGGACCAGTCCAACCAGGCACTCTGACGCGGCACACAGGAATCCCAAGCAGTAGCTTACCCCTCTGTATCACAACACCCACCCTCGGCGGGATTCTTTTCTCGTGATAATTACATGGTTGGTCAGGGTGGGACGGATCGAGGCTTAGGGATAAGTGGGTGAAACCATGATTTCCAAATCTGCGATTTCTTCTTCTTGTTTCTAGGGGGAGGGGAGAGAGAAACAGGGAAGCCACACCCGGCCTCCCAAATGCCCCAGTACCCAGGATGCCCCAGTACCCAGGGACGGGGAACCACCACCCATATCAACCCAGGCTCCCGATGTGTGCGTGTTCCGAGGGTTCTGTCCAAGTGGCTCAGACAGTTCTGAAATGCTGTCCATTTCACCGAGCCGAGGATGATGTCGCCTCCCAATGTCCACTGGCTGACATAGTCAACCTCAAGTCTCCATTCACCCAGATTTTTGCTGCCACTTTTGGCTGGGGTAGCTGTCCAATTTGCTCTGTTCTTCCTCTGCTATGGTACCAAATGGGTTTCCATATTCTCCGTGTGTGTTAGGGTCTGTGTCTACTGCTCTGCCCTGTTCACTGAGGAGGGCGTCATCTTACAGGCAAGTCCAAGGACCCGGGCCAGGCAACCAAACCCCTGGGGGCCAAGCGACCTGAGCCCCGCTGGACCCCCACCCCCAGGGCTCTGGGTCTGTGATTTTTATTTGATAAAAGAGGCATGCATGGCAGTTTCTCAAATCTCCCCTTTTGGGAGAGGGGTCTCGCTACACGTTTACTCAACACTCACCAGTTCAGGCAGCACTCACAGGGGGAGGGCTGGGAAGACAGCCGCTCCACTGGTCCCAAGTTTTGATCCAGCCCCTGGCGAGTGCTTCAGCCTTTTTTTCTCCCACTGGGAGGAGAAAACAATGCAAGGTTTCTACATTTTTGGTTCACCTACCATCCAGCTTTGGGAACTTGGGCCTTTTCTCCACCCACCTGGAGTAAACAGACCAACTATTGATGGCTTTTAACTCACTGCCACGTTGGAGCAAAGGCGCTGCCTGTCTCATCCTCACTTTAGCCAGCAGGGGGAGCCCACGAATCAAGTCTTCCAAGTCGCAGGGCTGTTTAAATTTCACTCAGGCGACAGGGGCTGAGCTGAACCCCTGGGAGGCCCGCCTGCTTCACTTCGCATCCAGCTCCCTGCTTATGGTTTGGTAAAGCAGCGGAAGACAGCCCAAAGCCACTGCAACTGCATGGGACACGCGGAAGACACTCCTGGCTCCAGGCTTCAGATGGGCTCAGCTCCAGCCGTTGCAGTCACTTGGGAGTGTATCATCGCACAGACCTTCCTCTCTGTCTCTGCTCCTCTCTGTATATCTGACTTAGCAATAAAAATAAATCTTTAAATAAAAAAAAAAATCAAACAGTTTTGGCAAAATAATACCTTTATTGCACACAACTGGCAGAAACCTGTTGCTGATATATTACTCTGTTTATAAACAACATCAGAGTGAAAAATAATTTTCAAGACCACATAGTTACAGAGTGTTAAGGACCCTCATGGGCTCACTTCATCTCCTGTCTTCTGAACATTGTCTATTCTCACCTGCGAGACCTGGTCCCAGTCCCACAGCTTGGAAGTCGCTGGACGGTAAGTCCACCATCAAGGTGGCAGAAATTTTGCCAGCTGGAGGGATGAGAGTGAAAGAACGAACGGGTGGGTGTGGGGAGGGGGACTTCCCTGTAGGAGCACAGAAAGTTCTAGAATGTGAGACAGGAGATGACAAAAGGCTTATGGAGCAGAAGGGTCAAGGCAGCTGGGGCTAACACGGGGGGCTGCTGGGTGAGGGTCTCGTGGGGACCAGTGTTCCCACTGCACGGGTGGAAGGGACATCCAATAGTTTCCAGAACCGCAGAGAGGGCCAGGCCAGAGCCTTGAGCAGACACAGGAGATGTGTGTGTTAGGCAGACGTGGGGTTCTGGGGTGGCCGGCAGGTCGGCTGGCACTGCCCACTCCTGGAAGGCACTGTGGGGCTGTCACACGAAGACTGCCGGACCCTCACGGTCACGTTCGAGTTGGTCACACGGGCTCCATAGTGGCCAGCCCAGAACTGCGTGTCCTGGCCCCAGTGTTCAAAAGACACAAAGCGGACGCCAGTCGGCAAGGTGGAGAACACGTGGCTGACCTGGAGCAGGGTGAAAGGCGCGTCAGCTCCATGGTGCGAAAGGCCGGCCTCCTGAGGCGGAGGCTGGGGACCGGCCCTTGACCTCCAGCGGTCAAGACACCGTGCCTCACATCACAACCCATGGGGGGGTGCAGCAAGCAGGGGTGCGGACAGGTGTCAGGGACATGCACAGAGCGGCCACCGGCTACCACTGCACTGGCCTGGACACATAGGTCAGCCTGGAGCCAGAGGTCCAGGTGAGAGCTTCAGCCAGCTCCAGTCGAGCTTGGGGTGGGGGGCACCTCCTCTCCCCAGCCCCATTCAAGACTCACTCGGAAACAGACACTGTTGTTCCACTGTTGCACAGGGTCCGGCGCTACTGAGAATTTGTCCAGGGTAACGTGGTCGGCGTCCAGCAGCTGCACGTGGAGCCGGTACCTGCAGCCGCTGTCGTGTCGGGCTCCCCACCTGCAGGAGGGAGTGAGGGGGTGCTTGGGGGGCCTTGCCACGCCCTCTCTAGGTGGGGGTGATTCCCCATCAGGTAAATTAAGCTCCTCCAAGGGCTGTCCTGAGGGGCTGGCCAGGTGGTGTAGCCTGTGGAATTTCCACACCGGAGTACAGGTTCGAGTCTCAGCCATAGCACAGGAGGGGATGGGAAGCGTGGGGCTAGCTCGGGCATGCGCTCAGAGGTCACCGGCACCGGGTCACACTCACCAGTCAGAGACACAGATCTCCAGCTCACCACTGTCCAGCAGCTCTGGCCACAGCCCCTCCTCCTCCAGGTTCAAGATCTGCTTCTTGGAACACCACCTGCGGAGGGGGAGGGGGAGGAAGGAGTCCAGTGCAAGACCAGACAGGCCCTTCTTCCCCGCAGGGGGCCCGGCCTCCCTCGGGCTGGGCTGGGGGGGCGGTGGCCACCTGAAGGAAGTCACGAAGCAGGTCTGTGCTGGGGCCCCGGGCACGGCGTGTATGTTTTCTTCCACCGCCCAGCCGCTACCGCCGTGCTGCACCTTCCACTGTCGCAGACCCTCTGAAAGGACAGGAGACTCGGAACCCGCAGCGGCCCTCAAACCACACCCAGTGGCCCTCGTCACCCCCCGCCGCCCCGATCCTCTCGCCTCCCCTGGATCCCCCACCTTGACCGCAGGGGTTGCGGATGAGGTTGCGTCCGAGCGGTCTGAGCTCGCAGAAGCAGCCGAGGCGGCAGCTGGCCAGGGGCGGGTAGCTGCGGACCAGCTGCAGCACGGCGCGGCCAGCGGCGCTGCGGTCGCGGGCCAGGACGAGCAGCCACAGGGCCTGGCTGTCCACCAGGGCGCGCCAGCGCCGGCACACCGGGCGGCAGCGGCCGAGCAGCGTGCGCGGGGGCACGTGGCTCAGCACTTGCAGCAGCAGCTCGGGTGGCAGTTGGCTCAGGTCCAGCAGCACCTCTGGCTCCTCCTGGGGCTCGTCCTCGGGCCCTGGCGCGGGGACCTGATCCCGGGCCTGAGAGACCCACGAGGCCCCCATGGATGGTCCCCGCCTCCAGGCCGGGCTGCGGGACGCGCAGAGGCCGGCGTCAGGGACCGGCAGCCTCCGCGGCGCGCGGCCTGCGGGCCTGGCCTTTGGCCGCCGAACCCGCAGTCTCTCGCCCGGACCTGGAGTGAGCGTGGGCCGCCGCCGCCTGCTCATCGCCACCCCCCTTGCTTGGGTCCTGGCTCAGAACCCGGAAGCCCACCCCGAGCTCCAGCTGCCCGGGCGACCCTAATGCCCCGCGTCCCCTCCGTCCCCGCCCCTGGTCGGTTATCTCTGGCCTCTCACCAGCTCGCTGCCGGTCCCTCCCCGCCCTCCGGGCTGCCCAGACCCCACCTTCGGACCGCGGGCGTCGCCGCCCACGCCGGCTCGGGGCGGGCGCGGGCCAAGGTCGCGCTCTGCCGGTGCGCGCGCCGCTTCCTGACCGTCTCCGCCACTGCCTGTGGCGGAGCGCGTCGGACTCGTGGCAAGTGGAAGCCCGCGAGTGGGTTCATGTCCACACCGAGGGTGAGGGCACGTCTTCCCTTGGGCCACAGGTGCCGAGCCCGAGGGCTGTGAGCAGTAGACGCTTCACGCTAAGTGCCAGGGTGTTACAGAGGGCAAGGGTAACGGGGTGGGGGGGTTTGGACCCAGCCGGGCCGGTTCCGCAGTCCTTGCTTTTAACCTGTGTGCAGTGACTGGACCGTGAGCCGTCTCGGTAGCAGAAATCCAGACCTGTTTTTACAGGGCACCTGCCTTCTACAGTGAGACGCATTCGCTGACAGTCAATAAGGAAACAATGGTGCTTCAGACTGCAGATTTCTCTCTCTCTCTCACACACACACACCCTACTCAACCTTTTTACGGGCAGAAAAAAAAAAAAAAAAAAAAAAGAGGGACCAGGCTCCAGAGCCACGGAACATTAAATCAGACTGCTGGGAGGTGCTCAACAGTGGACACAAGACCCCGATTGGAAATGGACGGAAGCTTTACGAGGCAAGGGGAGGGAAGTGGGCACAGGTGGAGGCGAGGAAGAGGGCTTTACCTTAACTCTGAGAGGGATCCTGCGGGATGCGCTGCTCAGTAGGCTTGGGCTGCTGGGATTTCCCGTTCCGTGCAAAAGCAGGTTGAGAGTGGAGCAGTTTGTGGTCCAGCCCATCCTTCTTTATCTCTGCTCTCACCACCTGCTTCTCCGGGGGGGCCAGGCCGGTTGTTTTGATTTGTTTCTTTGGAAGGCGAAGAAGGAGGGTGGGGAGAATCTTGCATCTGCTGCAGCTTCACACCCTGCAAAACCTGCAAAGTTTGGAGCACAGAACTCCAGCCTGGCCTTTCCCGTGTACGTGGTAGGTGCTCAAGGACTCGGGCCACCAATCCTCTGCTGCCTTCCCAGGGGCACCAGAAGGGGGATGGCTTGGAAGTAAGGCAGCTGGTACTCAAACTAGCACTGCGTGCGTTGTGTTGGAAGTCCCTGATAGGGCCTGGCATGGTAGCCTAGTGGCTAGCACGTGCCAAGATCCCATATGTTCATATCCCAGCTGCTGCGCTTCCCTTCCGGCTTCCTGCCTGTGGCCGGGGAAAGCAGTCGAGGACGGCCCAAAACCTTGGGACCCTGCACCTGCGTGGGAGACCCAGAAAGTGCTCCTGGCTCCTGATCGGCTCTGCTACCGCTGTTGCAGACACTTAGGGAGTGAACAAGCACATGGGAGGTCTTGGTCTCTCCTTTCTGTAAATCCAATATTTTTATTGGAATAAAAATAAATCTTTTTTTTTAAGTTGCTGGGTGACATCATAGCTTTTTGTCCACAGGATCCATAGGACATTATTACTCTTGTTGAAGAGTCAGAGCCCACACACCTCTCCCCAGGGACTAGGGAAGCCAACCCACTCTCAGTGTGAGTGCCAGAACCATCTCACTCTACTGGGCCCGCACCAGCGTCAACCACTAGGTCACAAGCCCACCCTAATATATTATTGTTTTAAAGATTTATTTTTATTTTTGGCCTGTTATCACCAAGCTTAAAGACTCCTTAATAAGCCATACACTTGTCTGGCATGATCTCGCTCGCACCTTGCCACAAGCCAATTCGAAGCCAGGAGCCTAATCTGGGTCTCCCACACAGGTGCAGGGTCCTAAGACTTTGGACCGTCCTTGGCTGCTTTCCCAGGCCACAAGCAGGAAGCTGGGTGGGAAATGGAGCAGCTGGGACTGGAACTAGCACCCACATGGGATCCTGCCTCAAGTAAGGCAAGGACTTTAGCCACTAGGTCATTGCACCAGACCCCCAAATAAGCAAATATTTGTAAGTTTTTTTTTTTTTTAAGATTTATTTATTTTATTGGAAAGGCAGATATACAGAGAGGAGAAGAGACAGAGAGGAAGATCTTCCGTCCGATGATTCACTCCCCAAGTGACTGCAACGGCCGGTGCTGCGCCGATCCAAAGCCGGGACCCTTGATCAGCACCCTTGATCTGCATATTGTCAATGGGGGCAGCTGTGACAGCAATAATGAAAGGCTTTTTGGCTAAAAACGGTATCAGCAACATCAGCTTCCAAGCTCACATTGGTAGTAAACATTAACTCCGCAGAGGCAGACAATGCCTAAATAGATTTACAGAATTCTCAGCGGGGTTGTCCAGTGTCCATGCAAAGGGAGGCGGAGCTGCATGCAGGTGGTTGTAGAAACATCCACCTGGCCCTGCCAAACAGCGGGAAGTTCCTTGCAGCCCTGCCTGCAATGGAACAATACTCTTCACACCTTCCTGTCTTCCACACCCATCACAGGGACCCCAGCACTTTCCCAATGGCTGCAGCAGCTGAGGCTGGGCCAGGTTGTAGCCAGAAGCCAGAAGTTTCTTCTGGATCTCCCTCCTGGGTGTAGGAACCCAGGCACTTGGGCCATTCTCGGCTGCTCTCTCCACGCGCGTTTGCAGAGAGAAGGACCAGAAGCGGAGCAGTGAGAACTCGAATCGGCACCTGCATGGGATGTGGGCACCACAGGCTGTGGCAGCTTAACCGGTTGCTCAGCATCATGGCGGAGTGGCAACTGTTTGGGGTGTGGGCAATTGAGTGTGTGCAAGCTCTGTGCTTCATTCCTTTAAAAGAAGAAAGCAGAATCAATGTGCACAAATATAAATCCTCTAAAAGCTGGAGAAACACAAGGAAACACAGCAGTGTGGACAGGAACAGAGGGTACAGGAAACCCCGGTGAATACTGGCAAGATGCTATGCCAGTGGGGTGGGTGCTGGGTGTGAGCTGAGTGAATACTGAGTGCTGCAAGGTGGGTGCTGGGTGAGTGCTGGGCAGACGCTGGGTGTGTGCAGCATTGCTCTGGGCAACTGCTGAGTGGGTGCTGGGTGGGTGCTGCCCAGGTGCTGATGTTGTAGGGTTTTTTGACCCCAAATACGGCAGCAACCTCAATTCTTGTCTCGCAGGAAAGAAGAATTTTCATGCGGACACAGTTTAGTTTTAAAGCAAGATTTATTAGAAAAGTTGAGAAGAGAGGCTCCCGTCCTAGTGGCAGGAGGGGGCTGTGAGACAGGAAGAACCCTCACTCCCCGCCATAGTGGCAGGAGCAAAAGTGAAAAAGACCCTAGTCATTTGCCATAGTGGCAGGAGGACAAGAAGAACCTGTATCAATGGTGGGAAAAGCATCTTTTAAAGGTTTCCCTCAAAGATGTTTCTCCATAAACAAAGAAAATTCCTGGTTTCCATGGCACCTGGCCCTGGGACAAAAGGCCTGAAAGGTGTCACTGGCCAACTTCCTTGGTCCCTTTCTAATGAGAGGCTGGTCTGAAGCCCTCCCCCTTGGCAATGGCTGGAGACAGAATGGGCTGAGGCCTCAAGTGGGGAATAGATATGTTAATGCCACCCTTGTCTCTCAGGGAAGCATGTTCCTGATAAGATACACACTTGTCTTGGGAGACGTGCTCTGGTGAATCCAAGACATGGTGGGGGATTTTATATTTGAGAAAAAAATGACTTGGGGACCCAGAATACCCTAACTGCCTACTGCCCAGTCTAACTCTTCTCACACTGGGAGGATGCTAGGTGAATGCTGTGTGGGTGCTGAGCAGGTGCTGTGTGGGTGCTGGGCGGGTGCTGGGCGGGCACTTGGTGGGCGTTGATCTCTCTTCCTCCATTCCTGGCAACTGCCTGTCGTCCTGCAGGTGAGCCAGTCTCCTGGGCACCTCTATGACATAAAACCTACTTCCTCCGGAGATAGAAATTGAGGCACAGGCCATTTCAGCAAGGTGCCCAAGGTGACCCCGAGCTGGGGGGTCTGAGACTTCGCTCGGAACTGTCCCTGTGGGCTCTCAAGGACTTCACAGCCCATGGCCCTCAGGTACGCCTGGCTGGGTCAATTGATGATTTCAAGCAGCGGCCACAGGAGGGACTCTCCTGGCCTTTGCACACACGCCTGTGGGAAAGCCACCTTTCTGTCCCAACACATAGGGGGAAACTTTCCGGGTGCTGGGGACTGAGTCTCGGGGCCACAGATGGAAAACTTTTGTGTCTTTCTCCTTCTGCCTCTTGCATGAAGAATTCCGTTGTAATAGGAAGCGAAGAGAGGTAGGCCGGGAGACTGGGGCTGATGTCTGCGTGCAAAGCGGGTCTTGGGGCTGGTCTCAGCACACAGTTGGAGCTAGGAAAAGAAACAAGGAGCCCATGGGACCCTGGGCAGAACCCGAGGTGTCCTGAGCAGGCACCGGTGGCAACACCTAGTGGGGGCCTAAAGGAACAGCCGAATCCAGGGCGACTCCAGGATGTGGGGGCAAACCTGCAGGAGACAGCACTGCCTGATGTTCTCAGGGCCGAGCACGCAGGAGAGGCAGCTGGGCAGGTGCAACTGAGGGTGGTAAAAGCTGAACTCGCAGTGGTGGTGGAACCAACTAAGGAGATGTGCAACTTTCTTTTCTTTCTTTCTCTTTCTCTCTCCCTCCCTCTCTCCCTCCCTCCCTCCCTTTCTTTCTCACAATCACCAGCCGGTTCCTGGAGGGAGAGGTACTTATGACACTCCAGACCTAGTACGTACTATTTGACACAAATCATCTAGTTTTCACACCGGGAGCGTGTCTCAGGTTTGGCAGGGCCCGAGGAGTCACTGCTGTATCCATATGCCTACTTCGTTCTGGGACAGTATTAGCCTACCAGCGTGCTGGCCAGGTGCGATCACTCTGGCATACCCACGGCCAACC